TCCAAGCCAGGACTGCTTTGCAAGCGGGGCACCCCTTAGAACTGTCTGTCCGGGGTGGGGGTCGGGACCCTTTAAGCACAGCCCTCGGCTCGCCTGAGACAGCATCTCCATGCTCTAAGTCCTCCTCTGATGCCCTGCCGGCACTGCTTCCGGCCATCCTTAAGCCCGGTTCAGGGTCCACTTAATGTGGACATGCTAGTTCGAATTAGCAAAACGCTAATTCGAACTAGTTTTTTAGTCTGGATCCGTTAGTTCGAATTAGCTTAGTTCGAATTAACTAATTCAAACTAAGTTAGTTCGAATTAGCGCTGTAGTGTAGACATACCCTGAGTGTGCCCCCCAGACACCTGACTGAGACTCCCAGCCCCTTCAGCCCCTGAGTGTGACTCTCAGGCCCTCCAGCTCCCCAGTCCCTCCAGCCCGAGTGTGACTCCTCCAGCCCTTCCAGCCTCTGAGTGTGGGGTTTGAGCTGGGGGGAGTGGTTTGGGGATGAGTGTCTTTCCCGCAACACAACTCAAATAAATGTAGCGTTGTTATTTTATTATTAATGTATTTTCAGCTTTTCTATGAAATAACTACTATGAATATATAAACAGAAACGGGGCTGGCCCAAGGCATTCTGGCGCCCCAGGCATGGGCGTGCAGCATCACACCCGGGCGCACGGCGCATGCACGGGCCCACCCCTAGGTAGCGGGCCGACCCCCGGGGCGCACATCGCATGTGCGACCTGGGTACAGCCGCTGGCCCCCGGCCCGCTCCCAGGGTGCACAGAGCATGCGCGGCCCAGTCCAGCGCAGTTGTTGCTGCTGGCGCGTGTGCCGGGCCACAGAGGGCCCCGCGGCCGTGGGGGGAAGGGCGTTGCTGGCTAGCGCCGCGGGGATGTGGGTGGGCCGGCGCTGCGGGAGCCAGGCCTGTGGTGCCTGATGGCAGCTGTAAGGGACACCGCGCGCTCCCTACAGCTGCCTAAGGGACACCGCGCGCTCCTTACAGCTGCCATCAGGCGCCCCCCGTCAGTTGATGCCCTAGGCAGCTGCCCGGCTCGCCCATGCCTCCGTCCAGCCCTGAACAGGAGGGGGCACAATTTTATATTCTTGCCTCAGGTGCAAAATTAGCTAATTATGGCACTGGTCCTCCTCTTCCCTCCCTCCCATTTTTGAATTGCCTTGGGTCACCAAGTCTTCCTGTCAAAATGGGTTCCCATCTGGAAAAGGTTGGGAACTGCTGACACTAGTGAGAGAGAGAAGAGAATCAAGCTTTTTCTGTTCGAGTTTTAGGTCAGATTGTGATCGATGGATTATAAGAAGGGACCACTATGATCATTTAGTCTGACCTCCTGTATAACACAGGCCATAAAACGTCCTTGAATTAATTCCTGTTTGGACTACGGCATCTCTTTTTAAAAAACAACTAATCTTGATATAAAAATTGCCAGCAATAGTGAACCCATCTAATTCTCAGTTCCACTGCTGTAACTTCCCCCACTTCTCTTGGGGACAGAATTAGCCCCTTCTACTCTTAAATAAAGTATCTTCAAAATCATTTTGTGAGAAAGAACCTAATAAGTATATTTTGATGTCACTAGATATGTATAGAAAATATTTTAGTGATGTACATAAATTGCAGCTGTAGCATAGCACTGTTTATTATCGCATCAAGCATAAGGCTGACCGCTAGTTTTCCCCAGTCACAGAAGCCAAACTAATAAATGGGGATAACACCTATCATGTATATTAATTTTATAATCATCCCATTGAGCCTTGCTGTCTTTTACCCAAGATCTCAAAGCACTTTACAGATATTAGTGTATGAAGCCTCACATTGGTAAGTATCTGAGACATGGGTAATTAGATATCCCCTTAATAATATATGCACCAGTAAATTTTTTACAGATACAAGTATGTGCAGATCCTGCAAAATTCTGTCCACACATTGAGGGACCAGACTCAGCTCCATCTGAAGCTTGGGTCTTTAAATAACTTGTTCAAAATTATATAGTGAGTCAGTCTGCAGTGTACTTGCAGTTAAGTTGGTCCCAGGATAGTAGAAAGATAAGGTGAGTGAGGTAATATCTTTTATCTGATCAACTTATGTTGGTGAAAAAGACAACTTTCCAGCTAGAAAGAGCTCTTCTTCAGGTCTAGTGAGTCAGTGGCTGAGTTAGGTATAGACTCAATAGTCCTGGCTCCTCCTAAACCGTAACCATAAGAACATACTCCCATACCTCTGGAGTAATTTTGGATCACATAGACACACAGTCCCTAATATCCATACAACTTAACAGAAATATCTTGGAATGCTGACTGTGACAGATAAACTACTTAGATGAAAACAAGGTCTGGTAGCACTTTATAGACTAACAAAGCTCTGGTCTTCTGAAGACGTGGGCTGTGCCCACGAAAGCTCATGATACCATCGACATGTTTTGTTAGTCTATAAAGTGCTACCAGACCATTTGTTGTTTTTTAAGTTTATTCTGTACAGACCAACTCGGCTACCCCCTGAAGCTACTTAGATGAAGTCAGTAAGGATGAGGCTACAATGGAAGGGAGAAGGTGCCAGGAAGAAGTTTACCTTAGCTCAGGAGACTCCTGTACAGTGAGAGCAGTCTGGTCCATTTGCTGAGAACTTGAGAGAGGCATCGGAGCACTGTGAGAGTTTCCAATACGTGGTCTTGCTGATTTAGCGATAGGTGGAATCAAAGCAGCACCTAATGACTTTCTCCTCTTCTCATCATTGCTATGCAAGTACTGCCAGGAAATTTGGGATTGGAAGAGAAGGGTTAACATTCAAACTAAAACAAGTAACTTGCACCTACCTTTACAAAGCAGTTAAATTCAGATCAGTGATTATGAAGAGGCAAGTGAAGTTTAGACGGGAAGGCTAGGCACATCGGTTAGCACAGGCAGGAATTCATTCTATTAGGCTACAGAGCAGAAGATCTCTGCAGAGCAGAGACAGGGATTGGGAGTGTGTCTGGAGAGCTAATGGCTAGCATTTCGCTCGAGCTTCAAAAGAAAGTGCAACTCCTCCAGTGAAGCCCCAGGAGAAGGAGAAGCTATCTGAGGGAGGGAGAATTGATGGCACCCTCTACTCCTGAGGTGAGAATGAGAAAATGAAAGGATAGCAATAAGAAAGGGGCCAGTGTCAGTGTCACACTCTGCTTCCCAACATGAAATTTCTGAGCACATTCTGCCGGTCTTTCCCCCGGCCTGCCACTTCTCCTTTGCCAATGTAGTATCTGTGAAGCTGTTCCTCTTTCAGACTTTCTGATTGTACTGGGATGGGTGTGGATTGCAGTCCCTGGGTTGTACCTAAACCACCCAGCAGACACCACTGAATTCCAGCCAATTTTCTACTACTTATTTCACATCCTGTCAAAATCTATTTCTCTAATATCAATTTTTTTCCAGTCACTGCCCTTTTAACAAACCCTCATCAACCTTTCAGTCCTGACAATAATATGATCACGGGATCCTAGGTGTTCTCCAGCTTCCATCTGATTTATCATATCTAGCTCTTTGTCAGTTATCAACCCAAGAAGAGTGCCTACCTTGTTGACAGTGCAATGTGATGTGCATGGAACCCACTTTCTACTATTTCCACAATAGACAAACATTTTTGTTGAAATGAGTCCCCCTTTGAGTTATTGATATTGTAACTGGGAGAAGGGAGAGGCAGACATTGCTCATTTCTTAGTTCTTCCATTCTCTTTTTCACTATCAAAGGGCTAAAATACTTCCTGTGAAAATCCAGTGAAGCCAGTAGAATTACTCTAGGAATGGATCTAGGCCAAATGCACCAGACTTTTGATAGGCTTCCTTAGTTTGCAAAAGCTTTTTCTAATTTCTTTCCTTCTCCTATGCAGTGAGATCTAACAAAGTTAAGGGAAAGGATCCAGGATTATCCTTTTGGGGATACGGTTGGGTCACAAATGCTCATATTTTCTAACAATATTGGAACATGCAAGGCCTTACTAAATACATGTGGTGGCTCTGACTGGTTTCTGGCAGCTTCTCCTCAAACACAGAACATGGTGAGTGCTGTTTAAAGAGATATTGGCCAATTCCTATATCGTACAGACACTATAATACCTCCATGATGCCATCTTTACAGAGTAACTTTTCATTCTATAACCACACTTCAAGTAGGATCCTTATCTTTACCCCTTTTCCATCAGAGGAATTTCTTAGAGCCCTACCCAAGTACTAAATAAACTGCAAAGGAACCATATTTGGTTTTCTTATTCTGTGCCAATTTACCTCTTGGGAAGTTGGAGTCAGATGAGTGTGGTTCTTGCGGTGGCCCCAGCTGATCATACTATTCTCCATGGTCTTCTGCTCCCTTTTATCTGGCCCGCTGGCCTCTGGTGAGGTAGGAATGCTCTGAATGGGAGGCATGGGCTTGGAAGTTAGCAGCAACCTTTGAGAGGCAGATCTGGAAACAGCTGGCTTCAGGGCAACCCCGTTGGGGCCACTGGAGACAAGCAAGCCTGCAGATCAGAAACACATAGCACTTGGGATACCACCTTTTAGTTCCAAGACAATGGAGATCTGACTGCAAATAAAGTGACTTTCCTCTAAATGTGTAGTTAGCTGAATGGTGAGACCTGTGTGCCCATGGACATATTGTAGTCCTATGGCACCTTAGAGACTAACAGAAATATATAGTATTATGAGCTTTCGTGGCTAAGACCTACTTCATCAGATGAATTGCAGTGAAAATAACAGAATCCAAGAAATATATAACCACAAAAAAGTACCTGTCAGTTGTAGGACCTGTGTTAATGAAGCTAATTAAGCAAGCTGGATGTGTCCCATTCATACCTTTTGATGTGAAAATGCAGATGTCAAAGGCCAGAGAAATTGGCTCTGTAGTATTTGAACCAGTTAATGTCTTTATTGAAGCCTACCATAACAGTGTCAAAATTGTAGATAAATTCCAGTTCTGCTGTCTCTCTCTGTAATTGGGACAAATTCCTTTGTAGAAGAATGGCTGCTTTTAAATCCATGACTGAGTTACCAGGTAGGTTAAAATGTTTACCTACTGGTTGACATGTATTACTATTTCTGATGTCTGATTTGTGCTCATTTATCCTTTGTTGCAGAGACTGTCCACTTTAGCCAATATACATGGCAAAGGGACATTGCTGGCACTTGTTGGGGTATATCACATTAGAGGACATGCAGCTGTATGAGCCCCTGATGTGGTGGCTTATGTGATTAGGTCCTGTGATGATGTCACTTGTAGAGATATGTGGACAAAGTTGGCAATGGGGTTGGTTCCTGGGTGAGTTTATCTGAGGTGTTGTATGTGGCTACTGGAAAGGATTTGCTTCAGGTTGGGGGGATGTCATGGACATATAGTAATATAAAGAGACTGCAGTTGAATAGACCAGTCACATCCATCCAATTCCATAGAAATACCCCAGAGAACATGATGGCTGTCTATGCTTCTATTTACTATTTGAAAACTGACAAAAGTGACATCTGGATTCACATGGATTAAGAAAACATACTCTCAAATCCTTGTGAAACAACAGAAAGATTAAAGTAGGTAAATGAAAGAGGACATTAAGGGAACATAGATAAAATGGAAATATAAACCAACCAAAAGTAGCAGCCCCAGATAGTTAAAGCTCTGTTACTCCAAACAGGAACATAAACAAGGATGAACTGATCATTTTTTCTCCATAGCAAAGGAGGAGTTCCTGAATTCTGAAATTCCTTCCAGAATATTTTGGATGCAAGCATCCACATCCATATCCTATTCAAAATTGGATCTGCATCCATTCAAGCCACATACATCCCCTCCCCTCCAGCACTGGGTTCAGCTTGGACATTGCTGGGAATTGAACTCAGTATGTGTCAGTGTCTCATGTTAATCACTCTATACTTGGAAGGGTTTCATTTAATCAGGGATAGCAGACAGGTACCTAGCTTTACCTCTGTGTGAAGCAATTAAGCCCTCAGAGATCCTCCTCTTCTTGAGCTTGTCCTTGATCCGAGCAGTTTCCATGGCTGCATTGCTTGCCTCCAGTTCTTTGGGATCCTGTTCCAAGGTGGGGTTGTCCGAGCCCTCCAGAGAGGAAATGGCCCCAGGATACAGTGGGTCCTCATCTCTACTCCACAAATATGACTGTTTCTTCATCTGGACTTTCAATACAGACTGAAGAGAGGCTGTAGGCCAATTTAAAGGCAGAAGTCAAGTGAGTCAACTTCAGTCATCAACAGGAGTATTGTTGTAATAATAAAAGTTCTTTCTTTTCTTTTTATTAACCTGGCAGTGGTTAATTGTGTGCCCTGATTTTTATCTTAGGGGTGAGATTTCCCAAATGATCTTTCCCCTGATTTCTTTATCAACATTTGGGTGGTGGCAGCGGAAGTTTTATTCCCAAGATCTAGGTTTTTAAAGATTTTGGGGGAAGTTTTATACCAAAGCCTGGTAGATAAGGCTTTGGGGTACACTTGCTGGCCCCACTTCTGCATTTATCATGCCAGAGTAGGGAAGGAGCCATGACAGGCCCTCCTCTAATAATGAGAAGCAAGCATCATCTTGGTCTGGCTTTTCTGCTGGGAGTGCCCTCATGGACCCAAAGGTGCTGGTTTTCATTCAAAGGAAGATGGATCAGGCCGGCCATTAGAAACAGAACCGTGCAACATACACCAGCAAATGGTCCTCAGATGGCCACAAGCTGAGTTATTTTAGCACGAGGACAAAGCACAGGTACTAATCAATGACCTTCACATCTACTTAATGGAGGAAATTCCACAGGGGACAGAGGGTGATTAGTATTTTACCACAGCATTCTCTGACTTGAAACTGTTCCTGGAATCATCACTCATAGCAAAATGAAAAAGGAAGAAGTAGATCTGGACACCAGGCTCAGAGACAGCCTCCTGATCTGGGCAGCCAGGCTTGTGGTCTCACATTTCTATGTGGCCTCAGTTCATAGTTAGTCAGTCCCTGTCCTCACCTTCATCTGCTGTCGTCCATCTGCTTCCATTCAGCTGCAAGTTTGAATCGATGCTTCCCCCTCGCAGTGATCTGTATCGGGCTTTGACTTTGGGGACGCTCCCACAATATACTGCAACAGGGGCTCGGTACTTATCTTTAAATGAAGAAGAGTACAAATGACCCATTTGTGATTCTTGAAAAGAAGAGAAAAAGAACAGCTGTCCCCTTTCACACATTACACATCAGATAGTGTGGGCTAAATCCTGCATTCTTGGGTCAGGCAAGCTTCTCTAATCTAACACTGTTCACTGGAGTATCTAACTGCCTGGCAGAATTACACAATTCCTTGTCAGTGATTTACCCTGTATTTTCTCTACTTTCCTGGCTAAGGTTGGCTGAACCCCAAGGTGGTCAAGCTTTTCCAAAACTCAAACAATCTGGAAGGTTCACAAAGCTAGTTCAAAAATTCTTCCCCTGTAATTCAAATCCAGGGTTTTTTTCCTCCTAGAAAGACTCACTTAAAAAATAAAAGTATAACACCAATTAATAACTGCCGTGTTCTTAGCTAGAGGTCTGTGCTCCCAATTATAAGTCCCCAAAGCTCACCTGACATATGCAGGTACCCTGTCTACCAAATGCAGACTTATTTCTTTATTCACCTGTCCTTTGCCCCTCTGCTCCATATCCACCCTATATTTTTACTGGATTTTATTTTCTTTTTCCTCTCTGTCAGAGAGGCTCCTAAAGACAACACAAACCTTTAATGTTTGAATTAAACTTTCTTTAGGCTAAGCAGTTGTTCCCCTCCCTCATCCAGGCCCACATCCACTACCTTTGCATATCAATGATGAACCATAAACTATTGCTGAGCGCCAAATGGCAGGCACACTTGCTAGCACAGTCACCCCCACTATCTGGCTCACTGTACAGTGTTTTGAACACAGGCCTCAGTACACCCGCTGCTGGTCCTGGAACATGACAACACTCTTTGGCACAGACACAAGTCTCTGCAGTTAATTTTTGCTCTGGGCAATGAGTAGGAGTAGTGGAGCTGCAAAAGGCAGAGTGCTAGCATCTCATCCAGTCCTTTACCTGCTGTGAAATCATCATGTGTTGCCATGTGTTTGTTCAGAAGGGCTCTTTTCAGCTAAGAGGCTATTTGCTGTTTTGCTTTTCACTGGACCTGCTGCTGTTGGCACCTTCTCCTTGTAATGTCCAGAGGCCTGCATGGGGGGAAAAAGCAGCACTGACATGGGTGACAAATTCTCTTTCACTCACGTTTCCATTTCTAATGGGGATCTTGCCTGGAACATATTAGAAAACTGGTGAAGTCAAGGGAGAGGTTAAAAAGCACTAACTAGCACAGTAGCTCAGTGCCAAATTCAAACTGCACAATCTCCATCTGTTGCAAACCTGCCAATTTGAGCTTTGCTCCAGTCTGTTTCCTTACTGTTTTGGTCCCTATTACTTCAGTCTAGACAGTTCTCTCCAGATTAGATCTTGCCTGGAACATATTAGAAAACTGGTGAAGTCAAGGGAGAGGTTAAAAAGCACTAACTAGCACAGTAGCTCAGTGCCAAATTCAAACTGCACAATCTCCATCTGTTGCAAACCTGCCAATTTGAGCTTTGCTCCAGTCTGTTTCCTTACTGTTTTGGTCCCTATTACTTCAGTCTAGACAGTTCTCTCCAGATTATAATAGAGACTTTGTCATCTCACAGAACTTTTTGTTGCTTCTTCTTTAGACCAATGTCTTGCAGTGTGAATTGAAGATACATTGGCCTGGATTTTATCCTACTGACATTAATGATAAAATCCCCATTGACTTCAGTGGAAGCAGAGTTAAGCCAATGTTGAATGAAAATCTCATCATTAGACACTAAAAAAAACACTCCCCACATTTTTCCCTAACAGGAAGTTGATTATAGCAAGGAGCCAGAGAGCTGTAGTCATGAAAAGGACTAAATGCATATAACACAGACAGACACTGACTAAGGAGGAGTATGTGGGGTAGAGTAGAAAAAGTAATTTATTTATTAACATATTCTTTCAATTTGAAAACACAGCACAAAGAATGCCTGTACATGCATTCTAGGTGCCCTACCATCAATTAAACTCAAAATCAATTAAAACACCCTCCTGCAGCTGAAAACAATAGAAAATGTACATACCCATCAATAAACACAGAAGCAAAGGCCCTTCCCCATATACCCATAGTCCCAGACACTGATCTCTCTCTGGATGCACTATGGAAGCATTTGTGTACACTAGAAAAAGTGCTTGAGGTTAAGTCAGTTAGCAAACATGCTTAAATAACTCTGGCTTAGCCATGACCACTTTTCCTATTCTAGACAACCCCAAATGGATGGCTTTTGCAGCTTGCTGATAAGATCCAAGAATTCAGGACCAATGTGTGTAATCCCAAGGAAAGAGAGCAATTATTTCTAGTGGGTCAAGGGACATAAACTAGGGATTTTGGGGGGAATGGAAGATAAGAAAATGCAGGGAGAATATGAGAGTCATGTCCAAATGGTAAGTTCTGCTAAACTGTAATTATCTCTCAAAGAAAGTGGAAGATGCACCATAGCTTGAGGCATTTAAAAATGCTACTGGAAAATACCCTGGAAAGGAGTCTGGTTGGGATAGGGGAGTCAGGATTCCTAGCTTGTATACCCAATTCTGTCATGGCCTTGCCATGTAACCTTAGGCCAGTCACTTAACCTCTCTGTGCCACAGGATACCAGTATGCAAGACTGGCTCAGGAAATGCAAAACACTTTGTTAGTATAATGTGAAGGTCACACAGGAAATGTACAATAAACACAGATTCATCCCTTCCCTTCAGAGGGAAGGTGAGGTTAAGTAATTACCACAGAGGACAGGGTAACCCAGAGTAATAGCTGTGGAAAGGCTTCGCTGCTTGCTACCTTGCAGCCTTTAGAAAGGGCTGGGGAGTAGGATTCTGTCCTCACCTACCCAATGTGAAATAGCCTCCCACACACCAAATCCATTGCTCATTTCAGGGACCAGGATTTGGGCCTCTGATATTAGAAAACCAATGCCAGCAGGATGAAGGAAATCTGGAAATGAACACAGAAAGCAACCTCACAGCATTCTCCATCACACACAAGTCACAACCAGCATCAGCACAGGGCCACCAGGACATGAAAACAATAATGCTTAAAACAATCCTTTTGGAAAGAGATAAGGAAAATTCAGTAGCATTTGAACATTTCTAGGCCCTGTAACATTTGGACAGTCATTTACACTCCTTTCTAATTATGTACAGGGTCAATCTAAAAGAAATTCATCCTCCTGGAATTCTCATTTCCTTGGGATGATTAGCAGTCAGGAAATGAAAATGGAGAGGTTTTCATTATTGTTATTATTTTATTTAGCTCTCTCTTAGCTCCCCAGCCATTTCTATTATGGCTTCTCAGTGCTGGAAGCCTACAGAATCAGGTTGTAAAATACACTTGACTTTTAACCTTCCTATAAAGTGCTCTATAAAGGAGAATTGACTTGAATTGGGCCCTGAATGTTAATGGCCAATATAGGCAGAGGGAGAAAGAAGGGAAAAGAATCTAGGAGCTGCTAGTTTCACCATTTTTTCTGTTTGCTAATCTAGTATATATTTGAGACAGTTTGTCTGTCTGTTCAAGAGCTCAGACCACCAAATTTGGTATGCAGCTTCCTCTTATAACTTGAAGCAAGGTAATGGTTTGATTGTGCCAGTACAATGGGATGTGCCTAGACTCAACTGTTTCTCATACAATGGAAAGGGAGAGCTCTGGTAGGAGGGACAGTAACACTGTATAATGACCACAGGGGCAGCAAGGGGCCAGAGATGGGGACTGGGACAGCTATAACCCCATTGGGGCAACAGGGGTGAAGAAAGGGACAGTTATCAATTATATATTTGAAAGAGTTTGTCTGTGTGTCTGGTTTTGTGTGTCTCTGTCTCCCAGCTGGGGAACATACACACCTCCCCTGGCTGTCTCTGCTGCAGCTGCACAGGCCATGGACAGGTGCTTCTCACCTGGCTCAAGATGCTGAGGTGAGAGGGCTGGGGTTGTCCTCTCCTCCTGGGGCAGCCTGCATAATGAACCCTGCAACCCCAGCACCACCCAAGAGCAATGGTTTAAATGAAGAAAAACAACAATTATTTGAGTTAAAGACCTGAGCAACACAGGGTAAATATTCTAGTTATACATAGGCAGATTATGTTTTTCTCAACCTCATTAACCTTCGAGTTTCTCTGCAGAATCATTTCTGCCCATTTCTGCCAAAGGCCTTGCCATTGTTTGTAAGCAGATCATTGCAAGTTGTCAATATCTGAACAGCTTTGTTTAGATGCACAGACTACATGGTGTATCCCTTTTCCCTAACCAGGTGAGCACTGCCCGTAAAATAATGTTTCTAGAATACTTGAGATTACATATTTGAAATTTGCTCTCCACAGATATAAAATTCCCTGTTTGCAGGAGTATTTTTTCTAGCAAGCTTGTTTGTAATTTATGGATATTCTAGCAAGCACAGCAAGGAGCACAAGCAAAGAAAATGTGATTAAAAACAGACTGTTTTGCAGTTCTGGTACCACATATTCAGAAGGAACCCTGAGGAGTTGGCTCAGCCTGAGAGATTTAATAGTGCATTACCCACAACAAAAGATACCATGCAAAAGACTCCTTGCAAGGGCTGTGCTCTATTCAGTAGAACTGGTTTCCAGATCCATGAAACAAGCAGAAGCTCATTCAGAGTAACAAATGAAGAGTAGAAACCAACTGGTTTGAAAGCCATACCTTGTCAGCTACTTCAGTGGTAACCAAACATCATTTAGACAGGTACTGAGTGCCAGCTTTAATGAGGTGTGATGTTAAACACCACAGCTATTTGAGTTTTGCACACAATGTATTCATAACACATACTGTAACTGTCTCCACTAAGCCCTGTGGCCAAGTCTATTCACGCCTCAAGCTGACAGATTGTTCTGTAACTTTGTCACTGCAAGAAACAAAGGGGCAACAGAGACATGCACACAGATTACATTTTACCTTTACTTTCATTAGGGCCTGATCCAAGCCCCATTACAACCCATGGAAAGCCTTTCCGAGACTTCAGTGGGCTTTGGATCAGGCCCCTAAATATTTGCACATTGTATGCTCTTTGTGGGAAAGACAGTGCCCTTCTCCTGACTGAGGCCACTGGCTGCTATTCTACTATAAAAGCTAATAGTGCAATCACAATGGAAGGTGTGTTCTGGAATATATGCACAGATGGACAATGAGCATGTGGAATCTTGGGTAGTTGGGTCATTTAGGGTACGTCTATACCGCAACACTATTCCAAAATAACTTAGAGTATGTCTAAACTACATCCCGCTTTCGAAAAAGGGTTTTTCAAAAGTGAAAGTGCCGTCTAGATGCGGTTCTTTCGAAAAAAGCCCTTTTTGAAAGATCCCGTACTCCTCAAAAAATGAGGCTGTGCTCTATTCAGCAGAACTGGTTCAGCGGAGGTGTACGGGCACTTTCCAAAAAGGGTGGGTTTTTCGAAAGAACTGCGTCTAGATGGTACTTTCACTTTCGAGAAACCCTTCTTCAAAAAAGCATTCGGACACCATTATGCAAATGAAGTGCAGGATATTTAAATCCCTGCTTCATTTGGACTTTAGATCTGCCTAATTTAAATTTTTTTGAAAGAGGGATGTAGTTTAGACTTACCCTTAGTCTGTGTCTACACAGCAAGCAGTTATTTTGAAATCGTGTCAAAATACTATCAAGCCGGAGGACTTCTTACTTGGACTCCTGTAACCCTCATTGTACGAGGAGTAAGGGAAGTCGGAGGAAGAGTGCTCTATTTCGAAATAAGTGCTATGTGGCCATTCCCTATTTCGAAATAAGATATGCAATTGACGTAACCTGAAATAAGCTATGCAAATTGAGCTAAGCCCTGCAGTGTAAGCACACTCTTACAGGCCAACCAATGGCAAGGCTTTAATGACTCGTGCCATGGTTGAATGCAGAGCCTCCTTGGACGTGTACTCAGGTGTAAGGGAGCAGATTGCAGCATGCAAGAAAGGGCAGGGTCAGCATCATACATTTTGCTAGTATGTGTTCAGTGCAGGCCAGCCCAACACCCTATGCCTGAAGACCCCATAGGCCAAATTGTGTGGCCTGCTCAGCTCCTCTTGGGCAGAGGTGTCCCTAACTCCCTAGCTAGGGATT